AAAGAATCGCAAAATGAGTCAACCTCCGGCAACTATCTTCTGCGATCTCATGATTCAACCTCCGGGAAGTCGTCTTCTGCGTGTTTTTTTGGTCCTCGGAGGCTCAGAGACCGCGTAGTGGGTCTTCACGTTGCTGTCGCGCGGCTCTTCGAGCTCCTCGGAGTTGGCGGCGCTGGCCGCGTCCCAGGCGAAGGGCATCTCCTTGGAGCCATCCCAACCCCGCGAATCCGCGCGCGAAAATCCGCGCGGGGTACATCCGCGCGGGGTACCTCCGCGAAGGCGGATTTCGAGAACGGCGTGAACCTCACGACGCAAAGAAAGGGAAAGACTTCAGCATAGCTAAGCAACCCAAGTCTGGGGCTAAAGGGAACCAGAAGGCCCAAAGCCTGCAATATTTTTTGGGGCAACTGCCAGGCTTGAGTGTGGAACATCCCATAAGTCTAGTGCCAGCGTCTGCCCAACCCCCAGCATCTGCCAGTGACTTGTCCATCCCCATACATGTTCAGCAGCTTTGCTTGAAGCTCGGGCAGAACCCGCCCCAGGGTGGCTTTGAAGGGCGGCCGCGCGTGCTGAACAAATCGCAGCCAAGGGTCTCCATCCTTGAGGAATTTGGGAGCGGCAGATGAGAAATTCATGGCTGGCAGCTCCTGCGCGACGCCAACGCCAAGTCAATCTAATGGCCGCTTGCCCATGGTCCCCAAACACAATGTGTCGTCCCCTGCCTCCACCAAATGCCACAACTTACATGAACCACCAGCATTGTCTTTCACAGGGAGGCGGGTGGCTCAGGCATTGCATAACCACGGAATCCGGATTTCTGAAGCCAGCAGTTTGAAAACTGGTGGCAAGCCATTGTGTTTCATGCTAAAATCGCGCCCGAAACGTCTGCAACAGGTCACTGGTGGCTCTTGAAACCTAAGCATGTGCGATATCATATGTGCCCGGCAAAGCTCAAGGCATCGATGCCAACTGATGCCAACAAGCAAACTAGGGCTTGACATGCGCATCCGTCCATGTCCCATCAAATCACTTGTTTCTGCGTGCAGAAGCAAACGCCACACTTGCAGAATTCCACGGTGGCAACTTGTTAAGGGCGTACGTTCCTACCGGAGGAGCTGAGTTTACCCACCTGCAGCAAACAAGTTGACTTCTAGCGTCTCAATTAAGGGTGCTCCCAACTGCCTGTTGCATCGAACATGTCAAACATTGGTTCAAGCACCATACAATCTTATGCTCTATGTACAACTAGACATGGCACCCCAAACCCCTGGGAGAGCGGAAGCTTCACCGCCTGAAGCAACCGCCAGCCTCGGCATCGTCGTCCTCAAGGTCCGACCATCGCAGGGAGCTGCGCTTGATGGTTAGAGGCTTCTGCTCAACACCTGCCAGGCGTGGAGCACGTGGAACCAAGTGGGTGGATTCCCTGTGCCCATTGGAAAACAAAGTCAAAAAAGGAAGGGAATAACTACCCTCCAAACAGCGACACTCGACATGCTCACAGGAAACTGCTGGCTTTGCAGGGTTGGCTGGTTGCGGTTGGGCCGTTGCCACCGAGGAGTCTGCCGCAAGTCAAAGCGCCAATTCACTAACTTAATTCACTGATTGTTAGTTGCGCTCTTTGCGAAGATCCTCTCCCGCCAGCCTTCAGAGGCGGGTGTTGGCCTGGGCTGCTGGGAAACAGGTAGCTCACATTCCCCTTGGTCAAATCCGGCAAGCACATCCATAATGCTACAGTCACGGTGTCATTTGATTAAAGCTGGCTCACAGCTTGGGTATCCAAAGGGGGCAAATGACAACTGGGCTCGGCTAAGTTGGAAGGATCTTCCACAAGTCGTCGAACAAAACCCGGCCTGTCCAAATTCACCGAAGTCTCCGTCGCAGCATCGCTTGGCCTGGTATCTCCGGAGCACGGGGCGCCGAAAATATGCGACGTCATTTCCGGACGGTTCTAGCACTTGATAGCCTTCCCCGGCCCCGGCCCAACCCCGAGCCGATCCCACCCCGCTCCCACGGTCCCCAGACCCCTTCCTCGAGCCCCTGAATTCGCACCCTTGCATGCCGACATGGAGGACAACTCAACCCACAACCAACCCGAAACCTCAACCCGAAACCCTCAACCCTAACTAAACCAATCCTAAATTAACGTTAAACCAACCCTAAGCCAACCCAAAACCCACCCCACCCACCCCAAACCCACTCAACCAACCCTAAACCAACCCTAAACCAACCCTAAATCAACCCCAAATCAAACTAATTCACCCAAAACTAACCACCCATCCAATCACCCAACCACCCACCCAACCACCCAACCCCCCCGCCCTTACCCACCCTAAACCAACCCTAAATCAACCCCAAATCAAACTAATTCACCCAAAACTAACCACCCACCCACCCAACCACCCAACCCCCCCTTCACCCTGGGGAAGGGGTGGCCTGGACATATAAACAGTACCTGAATCACTGAAGCTACTGACACAACAATGGCTAATAAGCTACAATTGACAGGTGCGCCTCTTCGACGTCTTGACAAGCTGCACCTGCATCCTGAGTTGCAAAGAGCAGTGGCCAGCTCCCTGAGTGGGAGAAACTCGCTCTCCAAATCCAACCTGTGCCTGCCATGGCGTGCTGCCAAGACGCCCGTCGAAATCAAAAGTGGTAGGACAATCGCGCTGCCAGTCGCAAAGCTGCTCGACATACCTCCGGCACCAATGGCAAGCTCGCTCGGCAAGCTGGCTGATATCAACCTTTGCCTTCTCAGTCCAAAACAGGTCTTTGTCTCTTGCTGCACCAAACAGCCACGCAGCGTAAGCCGGTGCACATTTGTTTAATATAAGTTTTGCTGCTTGCAAATTGGTGCCCGGTTTGAGGTCGCAAAAATGGGTGGCTTCCCTTTGATGTCCCCTTTTGGCAAAGGGCCTCAACAAACACAGTCTTAAGGCCTGTGAGCTGCGCAACCGTCGTGCAGCCGTGCAGCTGTTCCTCAGACTCAAAGATCTCCGGTCGGCTGATGTCGCATCCTGAGCGCGGCTCAGCCCTGGCTCCAAAAATCAAACAGCTTATACACCAGCATGGGCCCAGGGCAATGAAACCCGCACAATTCTGCCCCACTCATTCCGGGGCAAACGCCTTGCACTTGGGGAACAAAATGTGAAGCAGTCCTGGATCGCTTCGAGCGTGAGGAGTCACGCCGTCGTCGGAGTTCTCATCCTCACAGTCGATGAAGGTGCCCCGGAGACGAAGCTTGTGTGGCACAAATTGCTGGCCTGCAGCAATTGAGCATTCCCCACCCACAAGCACGTCTCTCCTCCAGGGCATGAAGGCTAAATTTCACGTGAAGAAGCTCTTGATGTGTATGTGTATATATATAGCATACATAAGTGTATATTCAGGTCTTGTCTTCTGGCAAGTCGAATCTGAGCAGCTTCAACTTTGGCATTGCCATGATCGTCATTTCCTTGCGCTCCTTTGGCCCCCGCCCCCAGTCTCGCCCTGCCTTTCTGAATCTGAACTTCAACTTTCCCAGTCTCTGAGACGGTGCCTGACGGCCTGGCAGGACGCAACAAAAAGAGCTGTGAAAAAACCGGGCTGGAATCACGAGGTTGCCTGAGCAACCCTTGTAACGAACCCACAACCCCAACGCCGACCGCCTCCTGCACTGAGCTGGCAAGCCCATCTGCTTTGCTAGAGGCAGCAAAACTGCGTGATCCTCAGCTGAATGTGGCAGCAGCATCACAGCTATGGCAGGGCGCCCACAAAAGAACAGCAGGGTCGGGCAGGTGAGCGTGTGTGGAAAAGTATTGATCAAGCAAGGTAAACAAATGGGAAGGCGCAATGTTGCAAAGCGCAGGGGGGCAAAGGGAGCATGAAAGGCATGCACGCAAACTCAGCACCATCAATGCATTCATACATCTGAGGCAAGCCACTCTTGGCTTGAAGCGGATGCGGTTGAAACATGAAAGGGTCGGCAGGACGCCTGAAGGCGCAAACGGATTCCTGCCTCCATAAATACCAGCCTTCCTGCCTGACTACCTGCCAAAACTGAACCCTCTACCCGCTCCTTCCTAAAACCATCTGAATTGAAATGTGTCTGAACTTTGCACATGCAGCGGCCAAAAACATGCAACATCATGCAACGCCAAGGGCCCAATCTGAGCCAAGGCACCAACCTGCAATCGTCTGCCTAATGAAGCTGTCCGGGCAGCGGGGGCGGACACACCCCCCAAGTCGGCGTCAAATTCCGAAAGAAACAAACAAAGGACATGGTGTGGGTGATGTGCAACGTAACTTGTGACTCTTGTTTGCCTCGTATTGACACCAAGCAAGTTGGCTTCAGGTCCTGACGACCGCGTTTCCTCCTCTACTCGACCGCAGTGGGTCAAGTTGAGCCAATGCCTCCATCAAAGTCTTCGGGCCCTTGCGCGAAATGCCACAAGGGAAGTAAGCAGCAGAAGGCGAGTGACAAAGTGAAGCATGCGAGAGAAATGCCATTTGAGCGGTGCTCAGAAAAAATGCGCCTCCACTGCCCATGTGCTCATGGGAACCCGTGAATTCATAAGTCGTTTAACTTGAAACCGCAAATTCAAAAAGTTTGAAACGGCACTTGAGACATTAACCGCCCTTTGTTTGCCGTTTCATGTTTCTGTGATGCTGCGTGCATGCGATATCCATGAAATGCCCCCTGCTGCCACACTACTTACTGAGATATCACGGATGATCGCATCGCTGGGCATGCCAGCCTCAATCGAGACGTGATGCGATCTCCCAATGCTGTAAGACATGTGGTTGCAACCACTGCCCGGTAGAAGTATCCCAGACATCGCCGTCAAACATGCCCCATGCCTCGCCTGGTTGAAGCTCCCCATGCAAACCATGTCTCAGTTGCCCAAAGGACCCAGAAATAACAGGTTGACCTTTTAGGGCCATGACCAACCATGGAACAAACAGGGAAACCAAAAGGTCAAAAGGTCGAGTCGCTTCGGGCAAACCTTCCTGACCCGCGCCTTCCAAGCTGCCACCTGGCCCTTGCCCAAAACCGAGCCTCACGGAGTCCGAAGTCGCGGACCCGTGAGCCAAACTGACCGCTTCGGGGTGCCAGGGGACGTTGCTAACGTTGCGGCTGAGAAATGCCGATGCTTTCGGAGGCTTCCCCGGATGGTGTTTTACAAAGCATGGCCACCCGCAAGTGTCATGCACAGCACCCCCAAATACCACCAAACAAGCTGCTGCACCTCCAGATTTGCCCAGCCAGAGTATGTTTCAACATCATCACGGGCTGTATTCTGTACGGGGCAGTGACATTAAGTAGTAGCAACTTCCCATGAAACAGCTCTAAACAACAAACAATGCGAAGTGGCAAAATGAAAACAGGCACCGGGGGGCCTCATTATGTCCAAATGCCCTAGGCACAAGAACGAACCAATTCTTCCTTGATTTGCACAAGTCCTCTTTGTAAGTCTTGATTGAATCTTGAGAAAAGCAGTGTCGCAACAGCGGAGTCTCTCCGGCAGGAGAAAACCAGTCAAGCCATCCCCCTGTGCATCCAGGGACGGGGGTTGGACCCCACAAAATAGTTCCCTGAATTCGAGGAGGCGCCCTTGAATTTAGCAAAATGCTGTAATTTGATGTAAATAGGAGCTAGGGATCTATGTCGTTGGGGCCGCCCGGAAATATTGAAGTCATTTTTTGTAGCGGGCGTTGGCTACCAATGTTCCAATTGGCTTGGACACCCATTCTGCAGGGAGGTGTATGAATAAATGAAAAACCAAATCGCCCAAGCCCCGCAAACAAATGCAAACTCCTCTGCGCCAGCATCATCTTGTTTGAAACTGAGCTAGACACATAAGCAGTCAGATAGCAGTTTTAACAACTCAAGCCAAATCTCTACAAGATGCACCGCGAACCAAACCTCATGCCTGCAAGATGACATAACCAGGCCGAAACCCTCAACATGGCCCTCAAAAAAACAAGTTATACATATTTTATTGTTTGTTCATTTATTTATTTAAATATATATATATATATGCCTACATATTTTTATATAGCCTCCACAAACTGATGGGCATAACGCATTTATAGTAATTTCTAATGTCTACAAAACGGGCTTTGTAGAACTTGGGGTGCCGCGACCTGAGGCGTGACCCCCTATTCGCTGTTTAAAACAACGATCTATAGCGATGTTGACCTCACCCACTTGGGGATGTGTAAATTGTGCTGGACTTATGGAGCCCTAGCACCTTAACACCCCCCCCCCCGTTTTTGCGACCTGGTCATGGGGAAAGGGCACTTCACAACACAAATGCTGGGTCAAGCTTTGGCAGCGACAAGCTGAAGGATCTGGGGCCTCGGAAATCCATGTCAGAAATTATAGTTTGGACTGGCTGGACGCGGCTCTGTTGCAACGGTCTATTTCCCCACAGTTCAATGCTAAGCGGCTCCAACGGCATCCCAACCGGGCACATGGTGATCAGAGCCTAGGCGAAGGCTTGCGACGCTGGCCCAATGGAAAGTCCCTCATCCCCCTAGCCGGCACCAAGACAACTTGATCCATTTCGTCAAGTTGGTCCGTGACTAAGTGACTGGATGGTAATCAAAACTCCCATGCATAGCTTCCAGGATATGTGGCTAGTGGGCTAAGTTGTGGAGGCAGGAGGCAACGCTCGGGGCCAGGAGAAAGGGCTGCAGTGGCATCAAGAGAGCGGTTGCTCAATCAACAAGGCCCACAATCCAACGAAATCTTGCACCAAAAGAGATTCATGTTCTCTTGGCAACTGGTGCATTTTGACACAGACCAGGTTGGATCCGGTGTAGTCATCATGGCCAGTTGCCGGAATACAGAGATTGTGGGATAGTGCCACGCGCTCGCAAGGCTGGAGGATGGTTTGATCCCGAGAGAAAATCTCATTCATGGCCTCTCCTCGAAATGGTTGACTTGTTGGTGCACAACAGGAGCTGACCAACCCACTTGCCAATGTGCTTGAGGCATCGGAATCTCAAGTGCTACTTGTGCTACATAAGCACATGTAACCTTATTCAAAGCTAAAATCATATGGTTGCAGCCCTGACTTGAAATTTCAGCCCACAAAAGTATTGTTCGCTTGAGTTCTTGTTTGATGTGCTGGAATGAATGAATAATGCGCATCCACTCTCACAAAAACTAGCAAACCCAGCTGGGCTCCCTCGCGAAGAGAAGCTCTTCTGCCAACAGCAGCGTGGTTCCGTTCACCCGCGCTGCAATCCCCTGATGCAAACGTATCCCTCTCGCACACTGGCACTGCGCACACAGGGAGAATCCTTGGGCATGGGCGAAGATTGGTGAAAACTGCTGGACGCTTACAGTCGGCTTGCCATGTATAACCATAACATGTCTTTGGCTCGCAAATTGGTATGCCTGAACCCCTCTCCCTGCCTCGCCGAGCGTCATGTCCGACGCCACGCCTTAGCGGAACATGTGCACTGGGCTGAAGGGGCCTGGAACCGCCGTGTCCGTCTCCACTGACGGAAATGTTCAGGAGGCTAACTCCCTCAAAATCTTTGGCTCTGGTCGCCTGGCGACCCGCGTCCGCTCGGCCTCCGGCACGCAAAGGACTCCTTGCCCAGGGGCTGGTCAGGGCTCCTCTCGCCGCTCCGGTGCTCACGCGACGCTCAGAACCAACCATGGAACACTTGGGGCTACAAATGACACAGCTTTCTTCAAAACATGTCAAAAGCTTGCAACTACATGAGGCACCAAACTTTGTCGGAATATGATTGTCTCATGTCAGACGTTGCCGAGTTCACTTCATGGAGTCAATCGCAATCAGGGAGGAAGGCATTATTCAAACCCATGGAATTTGATGGCATGTTGCCATTTGGGCAAACTCACCCACCGGAATTCAGTAATTAACTTCCAGGTAACTCAGGGACCTTATCGTTGGTGAGCTTGTTGTGATTTCTACAGTTGCCACCAGGTGGTCGGTTGAACTTGAAGCTCCCCTCTGCACCGTTGGCAACAGCCAAGAAGCAAAAACCGATTGGAATCAAACACGCCAACAACCAGCATGGCCAAGCCGGGCCAACTGCGCTCATGGAAATTGCTGACTGCCGTGACTGCCGTGACTGCCGTGACTGCCGTGACTGCCGTGACTGCCGTGACTGCCGTGCGCGCAAGCGCGAGGCTTGGCCTGAGACCCGGACACCACATGGCAAGGGAAGCCCATGGGAGTCTGCTCCCCAAAAAGCGCGATCCTTAGCACGAAATCCCCGTATTTCGGATTCCCCAACTTGCGAACCGTCAGGTCGGGCGAAACGGGTAGTTATCAAACTTTGAAGTCGAGTTGACCAAACAGGAAATTTTGGTCTGGCTCCAAAAGGTTGTAAGGGGTTCCGTCCGCCCGCTGACTCAGCTGACTCTCTTGGGGCTCTCTCGGATGCAACCTCCGGCATCTAAGTCCGGCTCATGGATCCGCTGTTTGCCCTTGCCTCATGGACCACGCTGAAGGAAAGCTCATAGGGCGAAGCCTGGGCCGAACATCCCACTCATGGCGTTACTGCAAAGGCCAAGGCTACATCCCTACTCAAGAATTGATATGCAGATTTCGACCGCGCTTGTGTCACATCTGAGAGTATGGCAGCGCGCGCGAACTCGGACTCGCCAACTGAGAACCTGCATGGCAGCTGCAAGTGAAACTTGGGCTGAGAGCACTTGCTCGAACTGCTGCATGCCGCTCGTGCATGGACGCTTTGCCTTGCACCCCTGTACTGGCCAAAACACAGAACCTCGCTTGCAAAGATGTAACAAAGCTTCCAAGGATTCCAAGCCCCTGTCCCACTTGTCCAAAATGGGCATTCCTGCTGTATGTCATCCTGCTGTATGTCATTGTGTCCCTTGGCGCAAAAGCCACGATCTGCGAAAATGAGCCTTGGAAACGGACTCCCTTCACATTCCAGGGGGTGCTTTCTAGTTTAGCGGCAGGCATCTATTTGTGCAAGTTGCTTTTCTCGGGGACTTTTGTTGGTGGCCCGCGGGTTCCTGCAACATTATCATGCAAGGAGCTTCAAGGGTCACTACGCAAGTCTCTCATTTCGGCTTTAGTTTTGCTGCGCCGCACCTTCTCGGGCCGCCGGCGGACATGTGGCACAGGCGCGGGCCCATGCTCAAAGCGTTCCTGGCGCGAGCCCCAGGGCATCTGCCCCCGGAATCCCAGGGTTGGATCATCAGAGTTTGCAGGAATTGTCTTCTTGACGCATTCGGATTCTGGTGGAACACTGAGTCAAGGAGCCAAGCCCGTCGTATCAGGATACGCTGCGACCATATCTTGAACAGGCATAAAGGGATACCCCTGCAAGCCTTCACGCCCCAACAACCGTGCCAAAACCATGTACCACTGCATTCAAGGAGAGTCACTTCACAATGGCCATGGCCTGGAATATAACGCTTACAGCCTCCAAGCGCAATCAAAACCCATCCTATGAATTCTTCGTGCCTCTTTACGCCCTTTTGCCCTCACGTGCCGCCCGCAAACTGCGGATGTCTCAGCATCGGCTTTAAGGCGCGCAGCACCTCAGGCATTTAAACCCCGATATTCGAACCAGTCGGACAGCCGTCCCCGAGAAGGCTTGATAGGCCCGCAACAGCTGTAGGGAACGTCCGAACAGAACCGCACACGCTTAAGCAAGAACATACCAAAACGGCCTGCCTTGGTTGCGGGGTATTCCAACGGTGCAACTTCTTCTCTTGAATCCTGGCACGTCCCGCCAAGAACACCACCCATCTGATGTTTTCAGGGACATCCGATGGGCACCTGGACTCGGAGATTGTGAGCTCTAATTGATGAGCCAGCAGCCTGAACACACGCTCAAACATACAGCGATGCTGTTGCCTCTAAGGGCTCTGGCAAAACGAAGATCCAACCACTTCCAACATTATCCTCCTGATTTCGCCGCAAACCTTGACCAGATTCTCTCCCCCCACAAAGGCCCATCAAACATTTGACCGTTCTCTCCCTCCCGCCTCCCGGCCTCCCAAAGCCTACCCCTCCCCAAAGCCTACTTCTCCAAACAACAGCAAATAACGCTTCGCCCAAAGCCGGACAGCTTGGTTTCTGCCAAGAAGCGCGGAGCTGCTGCTGTACATTGGGCCGCAGCTGGCAGAAGGGCACCTCGAGATCTGGGCCCGGTTCCCCTCATTTTGGCTGCAAACCTCGACCGAATCTTCTCCCCACTTTGAAAAATGACACCAATCGCAAAAAGGTCATTTACAGAAAATGAAATTTAAATGTCCAAAAACCACATCGGCAGGAAACTGCAAATGAGCACTCAAATGTCCTTGTTGAGGGAGAACAAGATTTGCACACTCATTTGGGTTTCAAAAGGAAAGGACTTATCGGCATCAATGAGGCATCTCAGTTTTTAGTCGAATCCGCATTGGTCCCCGCTGGCCAGTCCCCGAGCATTAAGGCATGTCCAGGCAGCATGCCCTGAGGATTTCTGACCGCCAATGGAAACGCATCAAACTAGGGGACTTCACTGACGCAACACAAATGCGTAGGTCACAAAAGCCTGAAGTGGACCCCCCCAAGGACTGGCCGATGGACTTTTTGACCAAACGTCCAACAGCCACGTTCTCACAACTGTCGACAGCAACCATGGACACTATCGTTCCCCAAGACCGAAAAGCACCAGAACTGCATCAGTTGTCTGCTTGACGCACGAGGCACTTTGGTCCTGTCGCTGCCTTTCACCACAATGGTGAGGTAATAGAACCTTGGTGAGCAGTCGGGAGGCGTCACATCCAGCTGGTCAATGACTCCCCTCTTCAGAACGGCATTGATTGCTTGTGGAACTCGTAGACGAAAGTGCCGCAGGGCAGTGGACTCCAAGTGGACAAACAATAATAACCATAGCACCAAACGCACTTGGTTAACAAGCCAAAAACAACATGTCCTGACTGCATGGCACATGCAAACGTGGTGCAAAGTGAACATCTATGGCAACAAGTGGCAGCCTGCTTGACCTACTTGGCGCTTGCTCGTTCAAGGGTGGGGAGGTGTACAAACATTCAAGACTTGCCCTGGCAGCCACATCCAAGACTTGCCGTGGCGAGCGGCACATCCCAGTAGGTAACTGCCTCTGCAATGATGATGTCCTGAGCAATTCCGTGAATGCGCTTGATTGCCAAAGCGGCCCCCAAAATTTCGTTTGGACGGGCTGTTCTAGCCAACGAAACAGAGATTGGCGGAGTCTCTCTGTTGAACTAATTTGCGAGTGCCCATCTGCGCAACATTCTCTAACAACAAAGATGCAACCTTCGGGCCATCATTCACGCTGCAATGCTGGTGTGTCCAACTGCCCAGTATACTCCACTCCAGCCAGGTATGCGCATGGTATGGCATGGTCCTCAATGGAAAAGGCCGGGATGAAGTCAGAAGTATCACGACCACCTGACATGAGGCACAGCAGGGAGTAAACAGCACCGACGGACATGCGCCCCAGGGCCCAGTAGTGACATCAAGATGCTTGATTGATCAGTCCGCACATTCGCTTGCAACCGTCAGGTTCAACAAGAATACCCTCTCTCTGCTGTCTTCCATGCAAGGTGATGATGACCCAACTCGATCGAAGCCGAAGTGACGTCTCTCAGCGTGGCTGCCTCGTCTCCGGCAGGTGATCAGCAGCCCGAGACCGTCTATGGCCACCAACTCCTGCGTTGAGCAACGGTACCAAGATGATCCAAGATGTGGGGGGGGTTTCAGCGCTTTCTGCGCCTGTCGATTGTTCGATTGTCGGCTACTGGAAAGTATCCTGCTTCAATTCAGGAAACAAACAGCACGTTGGAAGTCCGCGCATCGCTAAAAAAAAGACAGGAGCAGGCTTGCAACCTTGCAAGGTACACAATGGCTCCGCGTTCTCCCCCCAGAAGCAAACACACATCACCAGTCATATTATTGGCCATGATCTAAATCTATATCCAACAGGGGAATGAGATTCCGAAGAATGCAAATTACATCATGGGCAAAGCCAATGTATCTGGGAAATGACCGTGTGGATCTCCTACACATTGGGGCAGCAAGCATCCTCACACCATCGTACCGAGTTGCAGCCATCAGGGCTTTGGAGGGCAGCAGAAATCAAACAACTACTGCCCCAAACAGCCTCCTCCGAGACCTGGTTCATGACATGCATCGCGGCCAGAAGCAACAGCAGAACCAGCAGCGCTGCTAGCCTCAGCCAAGCCAGAAGAATCCATCCCGAAGTGGAAAGCTAGCAAAGTATGTGAAAGCTGCCTCAGCAGATGGATGCTGACCATCGAGGGGAAGGACACCAATCCAGTTTGGCGGGCCTATGTGCAGAATCTTGCACCCTGGCCAAGGAGAGGCGTTCACAACCCATTGCAGGCCGGAATGGGTCAAGTCTCAGTCTTCCGAGACATTCTCATAAACCTCGCCGGCCATGTTTCGACTTTGAACAATTCATGGAACGGGGCCCTGCTGGGAGAGTCGCCGGAAGTGATGTTGGTTTGTCACATCCTGGGCTGCATGCAGTTGCCACCTCCAGAAAATAAGACTTGAACAGAGAGTTGGGTCTGGTTCAACTAGATTCACAAATAAGGCCACCGCAAAGTGGTTGGCATGGTCTTTGCATCCTGTGGACAAAGAACTTCCCATGACAGAATCTGAAGAGGATTTTTCCCGGATGCCTTCCCCGGATGTGCCACACAAAATGCGAGAAAGATGCGCCCGGCTCAGTCAAGCAGCTTCCACCAGCCGAGCGCCGCCGCGATCACTGGGCCAGAAGCCAACCAAATCCTGGGCTTTGGCACAGCCTTGCTAAAGGAAAGGATTAGTGCATCGATGTTCATGACAACCATGCCAATAACACAAACCGAAACCGTAACCATGACATTTAAAAAAAATTAAAAAAATATCCAGGCTTGATGTTTGCACGCGTCTGGCACGACACGTGCAACGTCTCATCCAAATGACGCATAAGTATGCATGCGGGCACTCTTTTCGCCGACCTGTGAAAGCGGATGCGCAGTGTTCACGACTCTTTGGTGGTCTGAACCTCATGTGGGTCTGGGTCTGGATCATGGTCATGCCCTTGCTCGGCATCCATTCCTGTGAATGCCAGGACCTACGAATTGTTGCAGCTGGCCAGAGGAATCCAGGAACGGGATGCGAAGAATTGTCCCACCTGCAGAGGTCCAATAAGTTCGAATCGTTTGCAGTCTGCACCAGAAATTACCCACAGGATCACTGCGGTTTCGGCCTCAGATAGTGGCCATGGGAAAAAAAGACATCCTTTTTGGTTTGGTTGAGTTTACAGATGCAACCCTTCCCCCCCGCCGCCCCCCCCAAAAAAAAGAAGAAAAAACAAAAAAAAAGGGCGCCACTGACTAGGTTGCCCACAGGATCACTGCGGCCCCAAGGCCGTCAAGACATCTGCCGGGGCGTCCTGCAGATCACTGGCCCAAAACAAAGCGCTCCACCGCCTCCGCGACGCCGTCCGCGGTGTGATTCGCCACCACCACGTCCGCTGCCGCCATGGCGACCGGCTTGGCGTCGCCTGAAACACGTGCCACAAAGGATTCAGAATAGGGTTTTTGTGGGTGGTTTTCTGGGGTTTTGTAGGGTTTCCTGGGGTTTTCAACGAATAGCTGCAAATCGCAAATGAACGAGTCTCCAAACATCAGAAGCAAGTCGCCCATGGCCACGCCCAAGCCCACAAGCTGCAACATCTCCACATCATTTTCCGAGTCCCCGCAGGCGATCGCAGCTTCCGATTCTATGCCTCCGCAAGGCGATTGCATGGATGATGTTGCGGACTTTGTTGGGGCCCTTAGCCATTGGGCAGCGAAGCTTGGATTGGACCCCTCAACGCATCCCATCCAACCCTCGGAGAAAATACAAAACAAGCCACTTACAGTCAACTGCTCCGGGCTTCCGGCGCAAACGCTAATGCTTGCTTGTGTGGTTTCGCTTCTTCCTGGAATACTCCCGGTGGGTATGGAAATGCCAAGCTGCCCAAGGCTGCGAGTAGCTGCCTCACACCCGTACCTGTCAAAGATACAGCCGTCAGGAGCTTGAAGCCCCGTCAAGCGGCTAACATACAGCTACAAAGTGGTTTTTTTTGCACCAAGGGCAAGGTGCATTCAATGGTTCGAGGGTCAACACAATCATGTCTATCCCTAAATGAACTCCGCCTTCATACAAACAGTCCTCTTCCCTCCACGATTGCCAGCATATACTGAAGGGACCCGCGAGATTTGGCCCACACCCCACCCCCAGTCAATGTTCAGCACCAAACATCCGCCCTGAACAAATTACAAAAGCTAGTGGCAAATGCACATTTCTTATCACTTATCACTGTTTGATAAATTAAGGCCAGTCCCCCCGTTATAATACAACCACTCCTCCTTAATGATCCTTGGACTCTCCACCTCTATGGAACAAAACAAGAAACGCAGCTTCTTTGCACTTTCCTATTGCTGTTTTGTTGGCCAAACAGGGGGGGCCGGAGAGGACCTCCAGCCTCAAACTCCAACTCCTCAGCCTCAGCCTCTTGGCTGATTATTTGGAGGGCAGGAGGCCAGGGGGGAAGCTTTTTATGGGCGTTGAACCGGGGGCAGCGGCTTCTGCACATGCAAGAATAAGAATGCAGCGAGGTTTCTCAAGCACGTGCCTTTGTTCACCCCGGGCGGCAGAACCTCACAGTGATGGCGGCCGCAGTCCAGCACTCGTACACCGGTGTCGGCAAGAGCATCTTCAAGCGCCGCAGTCACTGGGGCCATGTCGTCTGCCCAGCCTGCTACATCGGGCGATGTAAACAGCACAAACTTGTACACCTCAGATGGCAAGTCGTCAAAACTCGGCATGTTTTTCACTGGCTCGGCAGCTCGTTGGATCATCTGTGTAGCCCAAGTGGGTTCCGGAGCAAGCTCCGCGTATCCATAGCCCTTGTCGCTTTTGAGCAGCGCCAGCAGGGCCACGCGGTGGCCAGCAATGATGCCGCCTTGGCTGGACTGCACCACCCGCGCCACGGCCTCTGCAGGCAGCGACGAGGCCTGCAGCACCACGTCTGAGTCGGCAGCCAGCACCAGGGCGCCGTTGGCAAAGACCCCCGGGCCCAGCCCCGGCAGCTGCTGCAGCAAATCCTCATACCAGGGTCCTGGGATGCGGCCCGTGGCCACACACACCTGACACCCTGCCTTTATGGCAGAGGCCAACGCGGCACGGTTCCTTGAGGACAGCTCCGTGTTTGTCGCGAAAGGCATCAACGTACAGTCCACATCTGAGATGATGGCCCTATAAGGAAGGCTCAATGCAATATCGCCCCATGCCTGCAACGTGAAGCCAAGACATGCCGCTATGCACAGGAGTCTTGAATACGCGCGCCGTGCACGAAGGCATCGCACGAATGGCTTGGCCCACATCTTCGATTCCATCGTTGGAACTTGCTTGGCTCATATTAGGAAGCTGCGGATGCTGAATGCACAAACCGAAACATGAACGTGGCTGGTCACAAAAGCAAGTCATACACATGCTTCCTCAACATGGAAAGCTCTGCAGGTCCTCAACTTCATGAGTTCAAGGTGCACATGTCCTGGCACGTGTATCTTGACAAGCAGCCCTAGAACTAAGCGTGAACAGCAACAACTATCTAAACTTATGTTTCAACATTCTGGCTGACCTCCCATCCTCAAAGCAAAACAAGTTCCTAGGGCAGTTCCCGCCTATTCCAACACGGTTCCGATTCGGCAGGCAGTGCGCAACCGCGACTTTGGTTGGCATGGCTATGCTTAGCCACAAATTGAAATCTGGGCTCTTGCTGGGTCGATTTCTCTTGAAGAAGGGCCTGGCCATGCTGTTGGCTCTACATATAGATATACATGTGTGCCCTACATATGCCGTAGGAAAAGAAAAAAAAGGGGTGCAGTCAATGCAACCCTTCACATCGATTGCTTTGAATCCCACACAGAACAGCGCCCACAGTTTGCAGTTTCCGAACCTTGCTCGCGTCGAATTTTTGCCAGGGAGCGGCGGAACCGGCCAAATGCCTGAGCGCGGCTGAACGAACATCGCGGATTATAACAGCTAAACAAATAGATGGATGAACTTTGGATGCGGGCAGCAAAGGACCCAGCAAATCCGGCCTGCATTGATTCCAGCGGGATCTACTGGGGCGCATTGGGCGCCGCCAGGTCCTAGAGGTCCTGTTGGGCCTTCTGGGCTTTGGGCCGCATGTGTTTTTTGCAAGTACTTGCATTGCAGGATTGCTTGTTGTCAGCCAGTCGGAGCCATTAATTTGGCCCTATTGGGCCTTGGGCACTATTGGACCTGGGCCCTATTGAGGTGCTGGTTCTCCTTCCGAATGGAAAACCTGTTGTTTCTCCCTGCAGAGGGAGAATTCGCCGGCAGACCCGAGTGAGGGGAAGGCTTGCCCTTTACTCAACAACAAAGGCAGAATGACAGCTGCTCTAGCTGTTTTGGTGGTCCCCTCTTGGTAGCCCCATATTGCGGTTCATGAAGCTTCAAACAAATCTGGATGGCTGTGCTACTTCAAGGAGTCCATTCGGATTGGATCACCCCAACAGGCCACCGACTTATCCAAACCCACTGACTCACACGTAACCCTCAAGCGGGACCAGGTTTGACTATGGCAGTAGGTTCAGAGCTAGCCCTGCCTTGAAACTCAACCTGTGTACGCTAAGCTAAGAAACCCACAAACTACCAAGATACTCCGTTTTTGCATGCCCATGTCAATATGCTAATATGTGATCATATGCGACCGCGCATGCATTCTCCCTTGGAACTACTGTAGTTTCTCAAGTCTGCGTTGTGTTATGGGCATCAGATTTGTTGGCTAGGATTCAATGCAATCTGCTGACCTGGTTGATGGCTGCTTGCCGCGGACAAGTACTGCTAGTACTGGATACCTGTTGCACCCTAGCCATTCATTTCGTTAGCCTCACTCATGCTGACATGCTGTGTGCCGAAGAGATCACGCGCCAGCACTTGCAATTGCTTGATGCGCTTTGTTCACCTGCTGCTGCTTCTGGCCACTCCGCCAAAAACATATGGCCCACAACTTACCATGTAAACGTAAGGCATACGTCAAGCACATCGAGCTTCTGGCTACAAAAGCAGGCTGTCAGGCCCAAGCTTTGCCACGCCACTTCCTTCCTTCTGCACCGTGAAGGTTAGCAGGCCAGGAGCGCGCTCTTCATGGAAGGTGGCCATGATGCGGCATCTTCAAATCTGCACAAACTGCAGATAGCCCATCAACGGGAGGCGGGGCTCCAAGAAAAGAGTCATGGCATGCCGAGGGTGGCTGGTTGTCGAGGTGGAAGGGAAGCTACGATTGTGCGCGAGGATTTGGCACCTTCGTGGCAAAGCCCCACTTTCATGATTTTGGGACACAACACTTCCCTACTCGGGGAACAAGCAGTGCTTGAACAAGACTGCCTGCTTGTCCAATTCACCCCCCACAAAGCTACCGCGATGCAGGTGCCCCATTCAATTATCCCTTCTTTCGGTGGTGATTGCTTGTGAGCTTCTTTGCGGCTGAATGTCTCAAGCTTCATGCTGCGCATGTCTTTCAAGCCACGCTGGCAATGAATCAGGCATCTTGACTGCTCACAGCTCTTTTGGCAGCTGCATCAACAATCCTGGACTCTGCCTAGCTCTGTTCAAAGCACTCAGCCTCAGCATGCCCTGGTTCATCCTACAGCTGCTTAAAATTTCAGCATCGCGGAGGGGCCTTGACGGACATGTGTTGAGGAAACCCCATATAAACCAAATCAACGCATGCTGACACGAGATACCACTCACACAGCGCAACAGTTTGTTTCGGGCAGCAGCGTTCCGCTGATCGATAGGCCAAGCAATGCTATTCGATATGCCAGTTGGCATGTACACTGTTCAATAACATCGAACCGCTCACAGTTTGAATTGGCAGTGTGGCTGGCGGCCCAGCTAGCATTCCAAAGCCCCTCCCAACCACGCCACATACTGAACATTGCTACCAGTTGGTTGCTCACAAACATAGAGGCCTATCCACTTGGTTCGCGTCTGGTTAGTTGTCCTTTTTGGATGGCAACCACCATTTAAAAGGGCAGGGGTGGTGGGTTATTTCTGCATGGCCGCCACGAAAACACCGACGTGTCGGCAGTAACGCAAGCCGGCGCCACAAGCGAGGAACCTCCGCCGGGCCCAAACCTCAAGCAACGGTTGAGATGCCTGCGAACTGTGAGAGAATTGCAGCAACAGCAACTACCAGTATGAGTTTCCAAGGTGCACGACCTGGCCAGTTTCCAAGCGGCTTCTGGGACATAAATTGTCAAACGGAAACACATGCAGAGAGGAACCGTGTGCAAGGATTCCACATCAGCATCCCAATTTCCCCCAAGTCCCATGTGTGTGGCACGGTCATCCGAGGTTTCAGGTTTATCTTGAACTCCGACATGGCAGTGCCACTCTGACTCTTGGTTCTTGGTCTCATCAACCGAGTGCGGCACCCATAGTTCTCGATTCATGTCGCCGAGACACCTTCGGACGGGGCATGGTGACGGGGAGCTGGCACTCACAAGCAGCGAGAAGCCAATTGCGGCGACCTGGGAAACAAGTAATACCATTGACTCAGCTGATACGTGCCACGTGCAAACACCCTCATTGTCATCAATTCACCTGGGACCTTGTTTTCGCTTCGCCCACTCGCTGGTTCGGTCGGCTTGGCCGAGACGCCAGGGCCACTTTGCCCCGCATCCAAGGAGGTACCTGGGCGGAGGCAGGGCTTCCTGGATCTCTGGCACCCCGCAAAACCAAGGCAAAAGAAAACAAACAGGGCATCTGGCCAGCGTACGCCACCGAGGGTCTCTATTGCATGTGCACTAAGAGAAATAACCAGCCAAAACAAAGCCGAACCGCAGATTTCAACATGCCATCCACTTGGTGACCCCAAGTCACAGCGCAATGCAGTGACTTGGCGCCTGCTCGCCAGTTTCCGGCTTGAAGCGGACCGAAATGAATCGGTTGTCCTGCACCACCTGCACGCGGCACACGCGGCGGTCAAGCTGCCTCACTGGGGGAGGCCGCTCTTCACTGTCAAGTCATCCAAATCAAGCAGGACGGGCTGATCCACATGCTAGGGCAAAACAAAAGGAGTCGGCGCACTGGCAGCGTCGGAAGCAGACTTCTGCGAAGGCAAACACCTTCTGCGAAATGCATGGAGGAGCGTCTAAGAGGCAAAGCTCCTTGGAAGGGCTCAACCCCTTCTAAGAAGCATTGTTGAAGGTGTCTGCGAAGGTTCGCATGCTAAGAAATGTTTGCCAAGGCTGCTTCGCTGGCTCTACCTATTTGTTTTGCCCGGACTTCGACTGTCTTCAGCGTCATTCTGGCCATGCCACCACCCATGAATGAAAATGAAGGGTTTTCTAACGGTGACACAAAAGGCTGCCAAAAAGACGGTACCCGATTCGCCTCCTCAGGCGTGCGGCGAGTGATGACCTTCAGGATCTTGGACAGCTTCTCTGGGGTCCTGGCCAGCGAGCCTTTCGGGGGTGGTACCGGTGTAGTGCTTCCCCAGTGTTCCTGGTCCACTCTAAGGGGGCGAGGCTGCAAAGTCATTGCTCTCATGCTAGCAGGTATGCCAACAGCTAACGTTGCATGGCATTCCAAGTTAGATGAACTTGCATCTGCGCGGCAATGCTCGTCTCCATCCCCCGGCCTCTTCAAACCATGCTGCGGGATTAAACAGGCATCCTGGCTCGGCGGCCGGAGTGTGGGTACCAGGCTGTGCCGACCCTGCAGAAAAGCCTAAGGTGCTGAACTTAGGGCAACAAAACACCCTGAAAACACCAAGACAAATCCGCCCGCCTGCTTAGAAAACCCGGGTAAGGACATTATTCGCCACTACCTTTACAGTAATTACTAGCAATTACAATAGCCATGTTCAATCTGTCCCCTTAGAAGCTCTTTGTGGGTTCTTGGTGAATTTCGGGATGGACAGTGGTTGACAACAATTTTCTGAGCATGGAAGTGACATGAAAGACATAGCTGGAACAAGAAACACGTCACGAAGTCGCCATGCCAGAATCATGTCAGCGCGCATGCCGAAATAACACCGATCAGTGGCCGCACAGCATTGCTGCACAGCATCACCACAGGACCCCCTCATTAAATCCCAAACAAAGCTTAGAATGCAGCTGCCCTGAGAAAATCGGTCACGGAATTGCCAACTCATAAAACCATGCCCAAGGGTTCCATTGACCTTGAAATGCGTGGCCGGGCTATACGGGTTTTAAAGTGGATTGGTCGCACATCTGCAGTTGGGTTTGAGACGGTTTGTTCTTCCGCGGCAATGTTTGGGCTGCGGCACGCTCGCTCGAAACTTGTCCCCTCCGTGAACTACACTTTGGGAGGCCGCATGTAACATAGCAAGTGCTGACAGGGTTGAAAACTGCCCGAAGACGGTCATAAATGGGAAAAACCACTCCTGCCCAGTGCGTCGAAGTCAGGCGGTGGTTTCTCGCTGGTTGCCTTGCCAAAAGAAAGTCGGTGGCTCCATACTAGCGTTAATTCTGCATAGCCGGTGCGAAAGAAGGTCTAGACGTGGTTTTGCACATCGCTGGCAAGTCCTGTTCCAAATGGAACATAATAGAACCAAAGCTGCACGATGAGCATAAACCGGTGCGACAGTCCGTTCGAACACTGCGAGCCCACTGCCTTTGAGGCGATGCCGCTGGGATCCAGCCTATGTCCAGATCGTATAGAGCCAGTGGAACAGGTCTAAAGATGTCTAAAGTGGACCCCGGCAACATGCAGGAGCCTTCGCAGCTTTGACCCGCTAGCAAAGCCCCGCAACAAGCAAAGCCCCCAGGTTTGAGGAGGGGAAGCTAAAAATCCCAGAATGAGTTCAGGCTGTGAACGCTATTCCCTCTGTTACAAGTTATCTGATCCAAGGCCTTTCACCCGTCTTACTGAGGGAGGCCCTGCACATGTCTCATGCACTGCACCAATGGCGGCCACGAACAACTTCAGTTAAGTGAATGCATGCACGAATGTAGCTCATTGTACCTCATTCACATGTGGTAACAAATCGAAGGGCTCCCGAATCCCAACAGAGTCTGAACTTAGTATGTTGCTGAATTCAGAACTGGTCAAAAAGGGTTTCACCTGCTGCAGTAACAGTACTGGTCCGCCATGGCAATCTTGCCGTGTGGCCGCGTAGCCTGTACAGTAAGGCCTGGAAGTAAGAAGTCCCACCCATGCAGCCAGGGCTGCCGGCAAGTGCAGGGAGTCCAGCATGGCGTCGACTTCTTTTGCACTGACGGGCGGAGTCAGCACCGAGTGCCGAGACACGTGCATCCGCCGCGGCCCGGCTACTACAACATCAAGCCCATGATCCCCACCGCCAGTCCCTTAAATACAGCAAATCACAGCACCCCTCTGCCAAGCCTGAAACACGCATTACCTCCTTGCGCTGCCTTCTGGTGGGCCCATGCCAAACTGAAAATTTCCGTCGGCCTCGTGTGGCGGCCCACCAGCAAATTCTCCGAGAAGGCGGCTGCCAGCAAAGCATAGACTTTGGTGGCCTGGCCGAAGGGTGCAGCGCAAATGGCTGATGTCGGATGCTCCACAATCTCTTTGCAAAGGCTTCTTGAGCTGGGAACACGAAACATAAATGGTCCAGGGAGACCTCTCGACATCCGGCCCTCCCAATCGACCTGTGGCTAGGCCGAACACATGATGATATATATATATATATACTTCCCCCCTACCCGCACGGGCGCGCCGAGGCTCTGAAGACGTCGCCGAGCGCTGGAACCTGAGCAAACACCTCAAGCCCTCGCTGCCACCCTCCCTGCGTGCTTGCTTTCTTTTTATAGAATCATCGTTCCGTCGTAAAGCTTGTTTTTGTGGTTGTTTTCTGCGCAAGGGCACGAAGACTAGCTTGTTACCGAGCGCACTGCGCAACAGGGGTGGCAAGTTGTTCAGTGCTAGCACTCTTTCTACCCAGTCCGCGGTAGAAATCCTATTAGCCAAGAACCCGCAAAATGGCCTTGCTCGACAAACCAACTGGGCAACATAACGCGTTTTGAATCAACTCACGATTCTATGTGTTTCTTGCTGTCCCTGGCCAAACCTTGTTCACCAGCGCATGACCATGAGGCCACTTGACCGATGCCGACCTATTCGCCAAGAAATGAGTAGCAGATTAGCATATTAGCATATTAGCATATTAGCATATTTTCATATTAGCAAGCACGCAAGCAAGCAAGCAAGCAAGCAAGCAAGCACGCACGCACGCACGCACGTACTCCAGTCTATTCCATTGATTGACAGGTGCGTAGAAAAGAATGCGCACACGCACACACACACACAGACACACACACACACACACACACACACACACACACACACACACACACACACACACACACACACACACACACACACACACACACACACACACACACACACACACACACACACACACACACACACACACACACACACACACACACACACACACACACACACACACACACACACACACACACACACACACACATACACACACACACACACACACACGCAAACGAACGCACACATGCGCAGGCGCGCCGATTGTGTCTCTTGATAGCTTCTGACTCGGCCAAGTACAAGGGAACATCCCAAGTTCCACAAACCTGGCCGCCGCTTCCAGATAGAGAAATGTGAATCGGTCCCCTTTGCAGGCGAAGCCTACCGCCCGAACTCCCGCGCACTGCACTGCAATTGCTTGCTTTTCTGCCACTTGCAAGCGAACCCCTGGTCGCTGCCGGTGCCACTTGACCGGGCATAAGTGCCTGTGAAATGAGTAGAGCAATCACGCCAAAATAGTGTGCGAGCATCCTATGAGAATAATCCGTTTACCTTTGAAGCTTTAGGCGGGTAAAGGTAAAAGGCAAACTGTCTGGAACTTGGAGCCAGGGCCGAGGTCTGGGTTGTCCAAAAGAGGCGCTATCGAAATAAACAATCATTTCAATCACGCTGCCGCCTCAACTTGCATAAGCCATACTGCGGGCTCCAAGCAAGCTCGGCCGGCCAAGCGCGGCGTCTTCGATTGCGGGGGTGGGATCTTGACTGAATGATTATAGGGGATTTCGTCGAAACACGAGACCTTCTTGGCATCTCAAGGGCCAAAGCTTTTAAAAAACCAGGGGAGGCGTCTTCTTGAGGTCGTGCCGGGCACTCACAGGGAAACCGTCCATTGAGACCAACCCAGACGCATCTGACGCCAGCCCCGGCTTCTCATCCGGAGCCGGTGGGCCCAGCATGGACGGGGCAGCCCTCATGGGACTACCGCCATCCGCACCTGCGCGAGCTATCGCGAGCCGACCAAAAAGCTCATGGCTCATGGCGTCAAAACGCACTACACGAACTCGAGGGCCAACATGCTCTAGCGTGATCAAGCTTCTGCACCATCTATGTAGGTGACCTCTGGATATATATATATATATATATATGTCTGGGCGGGCTGGTATGATGCAGCCAGTGGTCTCTGGGATTGCAGGATTGCAGGCACAGCTACCCCTGAACCGATTCACAATGAACACTTGCTGCACTAAGCAACCGGCCCACTGCCCGAACGACCACAGACCAGCCGCTCGGAATAGTGCTCCATCAACCGAACAACAATTCCAACAGAACTGACAAAATGTACTGTAACACTCCGCCAGCCTAAGTAAGGGGAGCAGGAATAGAGCCTTCATGTAAATCAATTTCCCCTTCAGCAAGGTTCCTATGTTGCACACATCAAATGCATACTATGCCTGCTTCTTTCAAGGTCACAAGCTCCAGCCTGAAGGCTGTTCCGCTGTAATCGGTTCGGCTCGGTGATGCTTCGTCTGATCTAGGTCCACAAGGGGGGCCAAAATGCCATCACGTTCTGGTCAAAAGGCCGTTGCGACGCAGGAATTCAATTTGGAGTTGGTGCACAAGCTAAGCCACCTCAATCCCACAACCCAGCGAAGAAGCCAAAGCGAGGGATTCATTTCACCATACTTTGCAGCCCTGGAGTTGGCATCTGGTTTGTCACTCGTTGCAGGGCTAGTCAGTGCGCCTTAATCCTGTCATTGGCAGAATGGCTGCTGAAGCCCCTGCCAAACCGCTTGCAGCTGCCAATGTGCATCCAAATTGTAAGAAGTAGTCCAGTCCAAGTATTTGATGTGCAGCAAAATCTAACATGTGGTTGGGAAGCTCTAAGAGCCCACTATGTCAACAATCTACACGTCAAACATACTATCACGCTTTGACTGCATTCATGGGCAAAATGTGATTGCAGCGAGGTGATGCTAGTAAAGGCAATGCCCCTAGCTGAGGGCCCCACATCGGGTGGATCTGTCTGCCGGCGCGACCTACAGGAAGAAATAATAGGAGGCTACACTCAAATGCCCAGTGGCCAGGGAAAAAAAGGCATCTTTTTTGGTTGGTTGAGTTAAAAGGGAACCCTTCCCACAAAGCACCACTGGGCAACTGGGTATACGAAGCCTGCAAATTCCACTCAGCCCTCCCAGAGCGGGAGTTGCCCCAAGAAATTCAATATGCAAAAAGCACCCGTGGACCGCCTTGTTGTCAGATTTCAATGGGAAGTGGTCATTGCCACCAGCTCCCTCCCCCCGAGGCCTTTCTGGACAAACGTGCCCACCCCCAAATCGGGGAAAAAGTGGGTGCCCCTTTCATGAATGATTTTGCTTGTGTCCTCAAAGGGAAGCTGAGTGAAAGTGATGATATTGTTGGAGAGTCCCATTCTTGGCAATCACATCCCATCACTTGGGAGGGCACGGCCATCCCCCCCATGCGCCCACTGCACCGAGGCGCGGCCGGCGCAGCAAGGGCTGACGCCGCAACTCTGAGGCGCTGGATGGGGACGACTCCACTGGCAAACGTGGAAACGCGGAAGGCGGAGGTTTTGGAGACCTTTCGGGACTTGTGCTTGGGTCTCTTTGTTTCTTAGCAGGGTTCCGAGAACGCAGCTAGCAATTCGCATGGTTGGAGGAAACAGCGGGCTGGGAAGTCTCAAAGAACTCCCTCGCCACAATGGTTTCAAGCGGTATTGTGGGTCAGGCCCCGAACCTGAACTCGCCCATCTAGCATTTGGCGATTGAGTGTGTTGCAGTCATCCTCAGCAAATGGAACGCATGAAGATTGGAAAGCCTGAGCACTACTTGAGGAGATCTTGCGACTGTTTTGCATGAATGCTTACCAAGTTCAAGCGAAATCAGGCAAGTTGCTTATTGCGCCAGTCAGGTTTTGACTCCTCTTGATTGCATGCATGGCTTGAGGAACCAGCGCACGGCGCCTGGAGTGGCCCGGCGCCGGCACCGGAACCGCAGCATCTGGATGCCAGGCAGAAGGAAGCCGAGGACCATCAGGACGACTCGGGCATGCGCGGCATCTACGCGGCATCTGCCCAGCATCTGGGAATCTAGGCAAAGGCTAAACATTCAGTAGCATGTCAGGGTGTCACCTTCTGGCGCCTAACATCCCCAAAATCAAACACCATGGTTGCTTACAATGTGAGACATCCCTCTAAGCAAATATCCGTTTACTTTAAAGGTATGGAAAAATATCATGGTTTTCCAGGAAGTACCGGGTTTTTGCTTTTTGCGTTGTAATCAGAATGGCCTTGCGTGAGGTATGATTGTGGTTCCCTCAATATACTCCTTTTGTTGGCTCTCTTACATCCAGTCAAACGATCCACGGCCGCCTAGCAATCCCATCCAAGCAAGCTCATTGAGCATGGCACCTGTTGCAAATCACCGGCTGAACTCGAAACAATGGTCAATCCGACCGCAATTCAATTTGTTGGGAAGGCTTCCCAGATCGTGTCTCGGGAAGTGTAAAACAGCATTGGAGAATGAACTTTCTGACAAGGGCAACAAGTAGGCCCAGTTTACCGCAAGCGGTAGCTGCACGTGTATACATATTGTGCATGGCACTAAGCAATCTGCTTGGGATTGTTTGCGTAAAGCTCGCGTTGGATACTTCTCGAGGGCCGTCTTGCAAATGCTCACTTGTTTGACAACCAAGTCCCGTGCTAAAGCACTGATGCCGGAGCTTCTCGCAGGCTTGTCTAAAACGTCGCAGGAACATCGTTTTTGGAGCGAGCCAAAAGAACCTAACCCACTTTGAACACTGGACAGCAGGTAGTAAAAGACGCGTGGGACGAAGACATGACTGACTGCTTTTCGCAGGGTCACTTTGCAAGCTTGTTTCGGGCAACTCGGGCCTGGAAAGCTGCTTGAGCAGAGGCTGAAAATCCCATAAATTGCGTACGGGTTTGTACGGTATTTTTATGGAATTTGTACGGTTTTTGTACGGGCTACGAAAAACCTGGTTTTCGGAAAAAATTGGGCTTGTATGGAATTTTTATGGGATTCGTATGGGATTTTTATGGGTTTCCTTTGTTTCGCACGCGCTCGCCCTTCCAGAAGCTTTCCAGCAAAGAAAAGCGGGCACACAGCTAGATTGCGAGAGCAGCGAAATGGTTTTGTATGACATTGCGGTAGAACGTCCGAAGGTTTTCGGGCACAAACACGTACTACGCAACATGTTTGGCTTGGACGGTGCTTCCCATCGAATCGAAGTTATGAGGAATCTCTGAGTGCTGGAAGAAAGTGCGACTTGGGCGGAGGCCAGCTTTGTTGGCATTTGGCTTGTGCGCCGAGCCGAGTAACGAATGCAAGTGCCACTTTGGGATACTACCTGATGCTTAAAATAATAAAAAAACAAAAGTACCATGATTGAGCATGATGTGTCAATCACGCAGAGCTACTGATG